CGGCGGAGAGTTTCTTTCTTCATCTAAAAAAGTTATGTTGTCAGATTAAGAGAAAAAAGTTCTTAACAAGTACATCTTAATGGTCACATACCCTACATCTTCTCTCGTAATCATCCACAACACGTTTTTGACGTTGATATACTTCTACCATATAATTAATTAGTTCTTCGCTATATTTCTCTTCTATAGTGCCATCAGAATCACTCTCTTCAGATCCAGTTAATTCACTCGATTGACTTGTACCATATCTTGGTTTAGGGCCTACAGAAGTTGCCACTGAAGACTCAGATGAATGGCTCAATTCCTGTGTGTCAATTTCTGTAACGTCAATGCGTGATGATTTTTTGGGCTTTGGCGTTTTATTTTGAGGTTTCTGATTAGGTTGAAGTCGTTGTTTCGGTGACGTAACTCGTTTTGTACGAGCGGCCGGGGGGACTTTTGATGTCTGAGATGTAGAAGTGACAGGTAACTTACGATTACTTTGAGAAAGCTGAAAAGTTTGTGGAGCAGAAATGATTTTTAGATTATCTGGTTCCTGAGATTCACGAGTCGAAGGAGTGCTTGACGACTGTGAACTTTGATTTTGCTTTAACTTCTAATAATATTTAAACCGATAGATAAAAGATGTAAGAGACCAAAGTATATACTTGAAGCGAATTCATAAAAAGAATAAGATTAATCAACAGCATAACCTCGATATAATGCTCTAAACTGGAATGTTTTACTCGAGTATATTAAAAGTTTTTACCAAATTGAATTAGAATTTTTACACATAAATTGAACTAATAAAATAATTATTGTTTCGAATCTTGTTATATAAAACTTTGTTACATCGAGGTTATACTGCATTAATAGTTAATCATAATCATTCTAATTTTTTGAAAAAGAATATTTGTATTGATAGAGTAGAAAATTTAAAACAACGATAAGCACATACCACAACGAATCCCACCTCTGGTTCAGGTATTTTACGTGGAGGTGGAGGAATAATTAATTCCTCTTCGGTTGATTCACCTTCTGATCGGTCCGATCCATGTAAACTCGCATCGGTGTTGGCATCTGAAGCAGTTATCGCACTATCTTTATCTTCCGTACTATCCGTTGGGGCATGAGCCAAATTTGATCTACCGTATTGACCGCCATCAAATACACCGCTGGGACCATTTTGTGATTTTGCAAATTGGAATCCAGCATCTTCATTCGGATCTCTGCTCAAAAGTTGATTAATGGACATTACAGGCAAAGGACGTAGGGTCTTTAAAGATATATATCAAACAAAATGAAATTAATGAATGAGTTTGATTTATTATTTTATTTTAGTTTCGTTTAAATACCTCATGAGGCACCACACCAGTGTTTTCGTGAATACGATGCAGAGAATTTTGATTTACATTTGAATTATGAAAAAATGATAATGTTTGCTGTGGCACTGAAGATGCTAGATCGAAATAAATAAACCACTTATAAATTTTGAAATAATGAACGAATCACTGATAATAGTTCTTTTTACTTACCGTGATCCACTTTATACTGCGTGCCTGGTAACTTTATTAGATAAAAGAAAGAAAATAATAATGAATAAATAAAAAATTTAATAATTAATTTTTGTATTTTACAATGACAAAATTCCGTGTCGCGTTATATTTGTTATTAAAAAAAAAAAAAAAAAAAAAAAAAAAAAAAGAAAAAAAAAGCTACTTACCTGATGAGCAGGGGGCTCGGAATAATCCCAGGAGGGGCTATTGTAAGCTGGTAAATGGCGTTGAATCGGAAGGATCGATGGTGGAATAGAATGTGATAAAGTTGAAGGAGTAGACAAAGTGGAAGGAGGATAATCGTTGTGATTATGTCTATAATGCGTGTTGTTCGTTTGTGAAGTGTACGAAGAAAACGATAGAGTCGGCTGAGTATAAGGTGGTGCCGCGTGAGAAG